GAGGGAAAAGGCGGGGGGGGCTGGGGGGGGGGGGGGGGGGGGGGGGGGAGAAAGACACAGTCAAACCTTCCACTGGAAGTGTGGTTTGCCAGAAAAATTTTCCGCCCACCAAACCCACTTTGTCTTCACTTTAAGCTGTAACTCATTCAGGGAGAAGCCACCCCACACTGTGCTCAAAAGGACAGAAAGTCTGCAGTCCAGCTACACAACAAAAAGAAAGCCTTACACTTTACACCTACGTCAGACCCATCTATAAAAAGACAATCAGCCACTTGCCTCTGTACGTTAACTGTTCTGCACAGTGCGGGCTTGGTTATGGGCGCTTTTTAGCAGGAAACACAACCACAACGGTGGCACATTAGGTTCTCACGTCTCTCAGAATAGAGTATTTGCTACATGATCTTATGGATTACTCTCACAGTAAAGTAAAGCAACTTTAAGAAGGCTGCCCTTTCTCATGCCATGCTGCACGCTCAGCTCCCCAGTCAGCACCTTCTCTGTTTAACGCTGGAGAAGAACAGGACAGGTTCAGTTGTCCTGACTGCAGAACAAACCCTGCAAAACCAGCCCAGGACGATCCTCCTGAGCAGCATGGCCAGCAGGTACATGAGGGTACCTGGAAAGGGGCCTTCCAGTATGAGACAGTGCGAAGCATAAAAACCCGTTCCTGAAGTGGCAGAAACACCCCAGACTCAATCCAAGACACAAGTTTCAGGAGTAAAGAGGCAAAAGTGCCCGTTGTCTTCTTACCAAAAGGCAAATTGTGCACACAGCCAGGACTGGTGAATGCACTGGTGCTAACACGAATGGCCACCTGGATGCCGCTGAGGAGGATGAGGTGAGCATAAGCCTGCCCCCCAGTACCAGCCCAGCCCTACATTTGCCCCCAAGCAGTCCACTGGCTCAGGCCGGAGTGATAGACAACACAGATCATGGGTTTCAGCCCAAAGGAAATTGACAGTCTGAGCTGACATGACAGTGACATTGCTGCTAGCAGGGGAGGACAGATGGTTCCCCACAGTCTCAGAGATGAAGGTATTCATCAGTAACAGACTTAAACATACAGGCTCAGATGAGGTTTTCTGGGGTCCTGGCCATATGAAGGACAAGATGGAAGACACAGAGGTAGTTAGAGCTACTACCACCAAATTCAGGGCTAAGTTTTAAGAAAATAATTTAAGGAACTGGAGACTGAGAACATCCTCTGTCAAGCCATTACTGCTCTGGATCCTTGTCCATGATTTTAGTGCTGGCCACCAGCTAAACTAAAAAACCTTTGTTTGCACACCATAATTAACAGCACAATTAACAGCACAAAGAACCCACGCAAAGAAACCACATTAATCTTCAATTACACCAAGTTGGTTGCTGAAGCCCAGAAGCTGGGATACCTTCTCCTGACTCAAGCAAGCACCTGAGGACCAGATTTGAAAGCCGAAAGGGAAAAAATCTCCAACTAAGAATTGCTTGGGCAGGACACAATTCCCTTTGAGAAAGTACCCAACACTGTGCTGAGTACAGCCAGCTCCAGAGGACAGAGCTGTGGATGACAGGGGATCCATGCATTCATGGTATATATTGCTGGGAAATATATCCACCTTGTGTGACAGCCTGGATTCAACCTACAGCAGCAAGCTTTGATACAACCTGCTGTGCTGGGTACTGATTGCATTAGATCCGTAACATCTCACTTCCAGCTGTGCTTACCTGCACAAAGACAGGGAACACCAGCACTTTGGGAGCCAGTGTCACATATGTGCCATAGCTGGAGTGCGGGATGTGTGGCCTCACTATGGTACAGTTCTGGTAGTTCCCGTAGCTCTTCATCGTCTGCACAGTCTTCATCAGCCTGGATTTTCTCCCAGACCCCGTGTGCGATTTCCCTTTACATGCATTTCCTGGACCAACAGAGGAAGCAGAAAGAAACACAGAATCAGAAGAGAGCTCCCACAGAGCTGCTACATGCTGCCGGCTTAGTTCCTGCTCTCACAGGCTGGAGGAGGGCACATAAAGCATAAGGGGAATAGCTGGAGCCAAGAGCTGCAGGGACGTTCGTCACTCTGCTATCAAAGTTTCCCAGGGATTCATGAAATAACAGCACTGACTTCATTTTTCCTAATGCAAAATGAGATGTCCCTTGACATTTCTGCTCAATCAAAAGCTACTCACTTGCTGGACCAAGGACTTAACTGGATCACACCAGCAGCACAGACATATCTATGTATGTACAAACCAAAACCCAAGAAGTCACAGCAAGCTCAGCTGCAGGCCAGTATATCTGCCTCTGTTTGGGTGTACGCTGCCTTCTGCACAATTTATGAATACAGTACTTTGGAGGAAGAGATGTGGTGCTATTATACAAACCTCCCTATGCAGTACTGAAAGTATGAAATAAGAAATACAGAACAATCCCAAACATGACTTTAAATGGTCATTCTTGAATCACAGGAGCACCAAGGACGTTCCCACCATCAGGGAAGACCTGCCTCCACCACTGAACTATCACCCTTCCCTTTCCAGGGAGAGGAAAACCATCTGTGACTAACTCAGGATGGGGGAAAAAAACCCAAAACACTGGAAATTTAAACCTCGGGACATTTTTATCCACACAAGCCTGCCTGCCCTGGATTCTGGGCATGGGAGTTAGCAAAGTGCAGGAATTTCACATCATGCGGTGCTGAGTAGTGGGTTAATCACAGTTTTCAGAAGATACTAAGACTGGAGGTGTCAGAGAAAGGGACAGAAATGATAAACACATTCATGCACATGGGATCAATCAATTTCTTTCCAAATCACTCCCAGGGATGTGAAGGTTACTTAGACATGGGGGTGTATTTATAAAGGATGACCTCATTTTGCATGAGGCTGGCACAATATTATCCACTGTTTTTCAGCATTAAATTTCAGTGCTAGAAAAAGTCCAAGCAGCCTGACTGTTTTTTCACTCTGTCCCTCTTCATCGCAGAAAGCCATTATCCTCATTCAAAGGAGTGATTACACAGAAGCTTTCCTTTGCAGACTCCCACCTCAACTGGTTGAGCAGAGCTATGACTTTTGCCAACAAGCCAACACCAGCTACTGTGGCCACTCCACATCTGCCAGTCTGTATTGCTAGAGGCCAGGAGATATTAGGTGGAATGTCAAACCAGTCCCAGAATCTCTAATGTAATTCATAATCCTGTGATTAAAAGCATTATTGATAATTAACAACAATTATCACTGTTCCCATTAGCTGCTGCGTGGATGAGTCCTTCCTTCCCCTATTGCCAGGCAATTGCTGCTATATAGGATTTCTAAGCCCTTTCCTCCCAGCCCAGAGGAAAGCCTTTGAATACACCCAGCAAGCTCCCATCAGCATTTTGTCTCACGAGTGCAGGCATGGGTTGTGGTGTGCCCTGAGGATGCTTTGCCTGCACAGAAACTACCATTTTCTCAGCACCAGCGCAATGAGGTGAGAGCATCACAGACTGCTGGGAGCCAGTGCTGTATGCACAACTGGCTGTGAGCAGCTAGATGGTTTCATGGGTTATCTGTTGGAGGCAGCAGTGCTAAGGATGGCTTTATGCATCCTCCTCCCCAGATCCATCACATGGAGCCAGGATGAGACCAACACACAGGACCAGAACCAGAAAGGAGCTGCCAAGCTGCTGCCCACTGGGCTACTCTGCTGTCAGGTGTGCTGGGACAGCACAGCTGCCAAGCGGGGAGCAGCTATGAAATATTTCTCATTAACGACGTTAATCCATTAGGCCCAAGGGCCTCAGCATTCTTTGGTAATCCCAGCATACAGTTTTGGCCATCCCTGATGTCCCCAGGCCCACAAGGCACACCTCTCCTGCCATACACAAACTCCCATCACAGCAGCAGCAGGACCTACCATGCTGGGGAGAGAAGGTGGGACAGGACTGTGTTCTCCAAGAGCCCTTAACCCCAGACCATGTCCTGCTGGGCACCAGCAACCTGTGCTCTGTCCTAAAACTCGCAGGCAACAATTCCAACAGGAACTGAATCTCTCTCTAACCAAAAATTCATGCCTTCTTCAAGAGAAGCCCCACTGAAAAATCAAAGTATTTCCTTCCTCTCTCCCTCCTGAGGCTGACGAACCAAGCCAGCTCGGGTCCAGCAAGCAGGTCTCCCCACTCGGATTTTAACATATCCAGGTGAGAAGGTGGAGCATTAGCCCATTCTCCCCCACAGCAATGTCTCAGGAACATGTATGAGCAAACCCTCCTGCAGCTCACTGCAAGAGGGGCGTCCCAGCAGAGACCCCCCAGCATCCCTCCCTCCAGCCACCCAGCCCTGGGGGTTTCTGCTCCTACCACAGCAGCCTTCCGCACAGTGGCTTCTGCCTTTGCACTGTAACAGATACCCATAACCTTCCTAAGCAGAAATGAGCCAAAACATTCCTGAACATGGCTCAGAGCAGATAAGGTCTCGTCCAAAGCAAATATACAAACCTACCCAACATTACATATTCCATTAAGTATTAGGAAATAGCGCATTTACGTTCAGATAAACGCCAGCAGAGCCAGACCGTGCTCTGTTGGCAATCCAGACCTGCTGTTTACTGCTTACTTTAACAACCTGCCTTTGCAGGGGGGTGGCCCTTGTGACCTAAAAGGTTGTTTCCACCTCTAACTGCAATAATCCTGACATTTTCTCTTTTCCCTTTTTCATGGTTGCACTGCCAGATAAAATCAAAGCACAAGAGAGCTCAACACAGAACAATCTGTCTGGACTGTTCAGGATCTGCTTTTCCTCTTATCCCTAAATCACCTCATTTTATCAGAGGAACTCATCATCTGCACAAGTCCTGTTTTCTGCACGCTGGCACAAAACACATCCAGCCTGCCTGAAGTGTCAGCTCCTCTCCTGGTATGACTGGTGGCCAGCTTCACACTGCCACGCTTAATCACTGCTCAGGTTAACTAATACATTTTTCCCTCTGAAGACTTAATATTAAATAAACTGAAAACAATCACTAAAATCTATTATGGGAAGAAGCCCAAGCCTTTCAAATTCCACCCTACTATAAGAACAAGTCCCCATGGTCCAGCTCATCTTTTCACAGGATCCACAAACAGCGGGAAAGAGTTGCAATTATCCACAGTACTATCCCTGCAGCTGATCTGCGGAAAATTCTTCTGGCTGCAGATCTCCAGGGCTGGGAGCATCCAAGGCACAGGGGCCTCAGACCCATGCTGCTCCCTCCTACTCCCCAGCATCCCCATCATGGCTTTGCCAGCCCCACACTTTGCCTTCTACAGACACTGACCCACCTTTATAGGCAGCACAAAATTTTCTAGCTGGAAATTGTGCCGATAGCTGTGCCCGCAGGAGGGAAGGACTGCTGAGTTAAAGACACTCCAGCAAGATCATGCCTAGGAGGTCAGCTCTGCTATGAACACACAGCTCATCCTAAGGGCATCCTAATAGACCAGGGTGCAAGTGTGGCCTCTCAAAGCTCCCAAATCAAAGAGCAGGCAACAGGTGTTTCTGCATGGACCAGGATTCATACAGTTCCCAGCCCTGCCACACACCTCATCCCACTCTTCCTGCAAGCCCAACCATACCTGGTTCTCCAGGAATACTCCAGCATACCTGTTACAGAAAATGAGTTTATGCTTCAAAAGGGTTTTTGAGAAGAGCTGGTCCAGAGACTGACAGAGACCTTGTAGCAGCCCTGGGAATGAGTATTCCCCAATTCTGGCACATCAACCTGCACTACTGTTTGTACAAATTCAAGTCACAGCCATCCTCACTCCCTTGGTAATAAAATGAACTTCAAAGCAGGGGCCACAGTATTAGCACTCCCCTAGCATGCCATCATGCATGAGAAGGGAAACACGTCACAGACAGGCCCACAGACACATCTGGGGAACCACCACAACAACAACAACGCTTAGCACTTTCACACTTCATGCTTTCATTGTGCCCCTGATGGAAAGTCCCTGCCACCAGCCTCCCTTCAGCCGCTCTGTCAGCTCCCACAGAGACCTTCTCACCATGAAGCTCATCCAGTGACACTAGGAGCTGTGTTCTCCTCTGGGCTTGAAAGTAGGGTTCTTGCTTTTATGTTTCATGCAGAGAGTAGGAAGATTATACTACCCAAAAGCTCCAGGCTTCTGCCACTGTTCTCAAAACATGAAGGACTCCATTGCAGCATTGCAGGGCTAAGGGCAAGGATTCAATAGTGCTAGAAGGACCATGTCTAGCTCTGCTAGGTGTTCTGACCAGTTTTTTCAGCACATCGGCAACTTACCCACAGTAGAGTTGTTCTCTTGATAGACAGGCCTCAGCAGCTGTAAGACACAATCCAGAAAGGACACAGTCACCTGAAGTAGGCTTGAGGTAGACTTTACAACAACCAACTGCAAATTTCAGCATGCAAAACCTAGCAAAACCAAAGCACTCAAGAGAGGTGAAAATCATTTTTGCCCTATTGCCAGTAGAAAATGAGAGTAATGACTTGCACTGGGGTCTATGCAGTGGAAACAGTTCCCATATCCTTACCCCTTGAGTGAGCCCTGGGAGGAGGCAGCAGGTCATTCACCCCGGCTCTACAATCCTAGTGGTAAATGTTTTAGGAAATTAGCGAAAGCTCTACCAAGGGACACAGGTCTGGCTTGTAAAAATGGCATGTGCTCTAGCAAACGTTTAGAGAAGATGCTTGATAAGGCTGAAGCACAGGCCAAGAGAGGATCCAGCAAGCACAGCCAACAGCAACATGCAGTAACTTGAGTATGGGGCTGGAAAGCAGCCCTACCTGGCTCCCCGGGTTCAAAGGTGCCAAGATGATGTAGTTCTGGTCTGCAGTGGAGGGGACCCGGGAAAGGGGTGGCATGGTGTTCTGGCTCCGCTTGCCAATCTCCGTGTACCTCTCCCAGCTGTTCAGCACCAGCCCATCACTCCCATCATACAGTATGTGGCAGCTCCGGCGCTGCTCGGGCCGTGGGGGCATGGTGCTGTTCTTTTCCCGCTTGTTGGGTGGTGACTGGAGGTCATAGGCAGACTTGCAGGATGATCTGCGGATCATGCCTTCATGTCCTGACTTGACCTGCGGGACAAGTCTCCAGACCAGCAGTATAATCTCAGTGGGACAGTTCCTGAAAGAGATGGCATGGGCCAAGTCAGAGATGTAGCAGTAGGGAGCGAGGCACCTCACATCATTCAGACAGCCATGAGCCCTGCAGTCCTTCCTCCCTGTAATGCCTCTGCCCCTGTCCTGCCCTCCCCAGCCCCTGCATACTTTCTTCTTCCACTCCAGAGAGTCCTTTCCCAGTCTCCTGCACCCCTCAAAGCTTTCCCATTCCTGTAGCCACTCAAAGCTCCTTCTCCCCTGCCCTGGTCTCCTTCAAACCGTCTCTCCCAGAGCCCTGCACTCATGCTTTGGGTGAATACTCACCGGATTTCATGTGCCAGCTCCACACATTTCCAGTGCTCCACAGGCTGCTCATTCAGCTGCAGCACTGTGTCAAGCTGCTGCAGACCGGCCTTTTCTGCTGGGCCACCTACAGAGAGAAGAAACAAATGCCTGTCACCTGCTAGACAGAGACCTGAGAGTATAAGGGGGAGGAGAAGCCGTGGGGCTAGTGGACACCCAAATAGCACAGCTTCACAGCTTGCACCACTCACTCCTCCAAACCCAGCCTGCTTCCCCTAACATCCACACCTGAAAATGAAGTGGGGCTAGCTGAGCCTGGAGCTTCACCTTCCAACATGCACGTGTGCACACACACACACAGAGCACCTGGGACAGTCATAAACACTCTCAGAGCTACTGCATGAACTTCCTGAGTTTCCTGGTGTGCAGTGGGGAGCACCAGGGTACAACAGAGACACCAAGTCCATCCTGCAGGTCCACACCAAGAGGGTCTAGTCAGACAGCCGAGGGCTCCCAAGATCCTGCTCCCCTATCTGACACCCCTCCCCAGAATGCTTTCCATAGGTCTCCCAACTAGCCAGACAGCTCTCAGGTTGAAGAGGGAAGGGAACAAAATCTCTGCAAATTACTGCAACACACTGCCAAAATAGTGACATCCAGAGGCTAACCCAGTGGCCTCTGACCTCATTAGAGGCAACAGAGAACTCATTAAGTGAAGTTTCTTAGAGGTAACCAGGGTCATGCAAGGCATGGGAGCTTCTGAATCACAACATGCTCTGGGAAGCAAAAAAGGAGCAGAGTCATTCATTCAAATCAAGAGGGATAAAAAATATCTAATCTCTTACCGGAGTCCACTGCCTGCACACGGACTGGGGAGTCACAGCAGATTGTGAAGCCAAACCCATCACTTCCTCGAGGGATTGTAATCTGAAGAGAGACACCGGAGTCACCCTGTTAAGTGGGAAAGCAGCTGCTGTGTGTGATCAGTGAGCATCCCCCGTTTCACCCACACACTGCCCCACAGCCTTTGGAAATGCAGACACACGGCATTTCTAGAAGCAGTCACAGAGCCCAAAGGAACTGTCATGGTGAACACTGTCACTTTGTGAACCCCACGGACAACGGGTCTCTCTGCAGCCAAAGGGGACTGGAAAGGGTGCTAAAAAGTAATGCAAAAATCGAGCAACAGAGAGGAATGCCACAAAACGAGTGTTTATTGAGCATACACAATTCTCCACTCACAACTCTTGCAAGTGTAAGGAAAGATCTGATAAGCCATTAGAAAGGAAAAGCTGGCAGTCTGGCTCTGACATTGATTTCTAACACGGCTTCTCTAAGCAAGTCATTTAAATATTTAATTTCCAAATGGGTAATACAGAAATAGCAGCACTCCTCTACTCCAGAGGAAGCTGTGAGGATCAGCACACTCCTGTCTGCAAGGCATCTGTGCTGGAGCGGGCTCTGTATGCATCACCCCATTAGCTGGGGTGAGTATGTTTTCTCTCGCTGAGTTTGGAGAGGATGGGTGCTGTGTTGATTTAGGCTCATTTCTCCTCCTGATTCAAGAAGCATTGAGCTTATTAATAAAATGATACTTATTTTTTGATGTTGGCTTCCAGCAGCAGCTCAGCATGTCAGTTCCTGTAAATACCTGATTATCCCCCAAGACATTTGTCAAGATCCTTGTTTTACTGACAAGGAAAAGAAAAGAAAAAATCCAACATCTGACCTGTATTATTTTGAGAACAAACAGAAGACAAGAAATTCAGCAGAAGCTGCCAAGGAGGGGAACTGGTTCCTCGCTCCTTTACCATGGGAGGGCAAATGCAGCAAGATTTCATTGCTCTGCACCTCATCCCTGCTTGATTGCTCAGCATAAAATCAGGCTTCTAAAGAGAAACTGTCTTTCCCTGGCAGGACCAAAAGGTAGGTCCAGTCCCACTACACTGAGTATTTTACTCTCTGGAGTTTGTTGGATCCTCCAACAGGGGAGGAGGCTGCTTGTGGCTCTGCACCTTCAAACCAACTCACATTTCAAATATAAAGCACATGGGATTCAAGTCCTGCGGAAGTGTTACCATTGGCACCTCAGGAGCCAGCCTAGCATCTCTCCCACCATGGAGACTCCACAATCACTTCCATCCCAAAGCTTCCCCTGCGCCAAGAGATCTCCCACTCCTTCTCCCTGAGCTGGCTGGCTCTTGTCCACTGCCAAGGGAGACACCTTCCCTGTGCCACTGAATAGTGGCTTCTCACTGCTGATGGTTCACTTTCCTCGGCTCCCACCACCAGGGCCATTACAGGGAGCTGAACATCTATTTTTGCCACTGTGCACAGAACTAAGAAATATGAGCATCTGACATAAGCTGGAAGGTGGGTGGCAATATGGTGAGAGACTCCAGCACCACGGAGGCTCACTGCGCCCATAACTTTGTCAAAAAATGCAGAAGAAATTGTCAAAATAGGGAACTGAGGAGTTCTAAGACACAAATCACAGTCAGTTGTCACAAAGCAGAGCAGCATTCCTGCATGAGACAGTCACTATAGCCCTGACAAGAAATGGGCATTTTTAGTTAAGCTGGCTCTTGTGCAATTCCCAATATACACTGTCCCCCACCACAGCTTTAGCATGACACAAAAGATTAGCACAGGAGTGCAGAGAAAAGCTGACAATAAGCTGGGAGCCCCAATCCAGACCATGGGGGGAAAATTATGTTCGAAAGTGCAGGAGACTGGGACCTGTGCAAGCAAAACCAGCACCCGCCATCGTGCGCTGAGCAGGTCCAAGAGAACTTGCACCAGCTTTTACAGAGCACAGCAATCTACTTCTCATAAAGCAAGTCATCATTGATTGTAACAAGCTTCAAGCAACACTTTATTCCCAAATATTTTCACATTAAAACAATTTTGAAAAGAGATAGCAGCAGCCTGGCAGAGACTTAGCTGCCTGCTGTGCCTGCCTCTCCTCTAACGAGTGGTAAATTGAGACACCACCTCACAGCTTAGCACTTTCATCGTCAGCATGCTACCCTCAAGTTACACAGTAAATGCTCCCCCTCCATTCCAATTTACACACTGCAGCAATGGGCAGAGACCAGCTAGAGACACCTATCTGAGGATGCTTTCCTTACATTCACAATATTATCATTTACTAATGATAGCAAATCAACACCCTAGAAACAGCACACACAGAGCCCAGAAATGGTAAGAAAGCCCACAAACACTCGTAAACTTAACCGAGACTTGCAGCAACATGCACATACATGCTGGCACACAGATTTTTTTTCCATGGGAGATACAGACCTGTCTGTATCTCCGCTCCGAGCACACCTTGCAGAGTCCATTGAAGCGGTTCATGGCTGGAAAACCCTAAACTCGCCGTTAGCCCATGAAAATCCAGTCCCCCGAAGCAGCCGTAATCCTGATCTCCTTGTATCACACGAGTGTGGAACAAACCACAGCCAAACTGGCATGACCGCCCATGGGAACCCAGCTCCAGAGAAGAATGGCAGGAAGCCACCTTTCACCTCCCCAGCCCCTGTCTGTGCTGTATGCCGCTTTACGATAAGCCAGAGGGCTTCCTGAAAACCCTAACTGACAAGGAAGAGAGAGAGTTTTATATTAAAATTCCTGTCAACTATTTAGTATTCCCTAGTCCCTGCTCTGTTGATGTGGCTTTTGTTCCCGCGGCATTCTTCAGCTGCACAGAGCACTTTGTTATTGCAATGTTCTCACAAACACTTTGAGGATGTTTAAGCAGCATTTCACAGGCACCGGCTGTGCAAGCCTTATTTCATGAAAAAGACAGCTTGCACTCGTTACCCTCATAAAGGATAAGAGAGACTTATAAAAAAAAAAAAAAGAAAAAAAGAAAAAGCAGAGTTTGTTTTTGAAAGCACAGACCCAGAGGATATGCATGTCCCGATGCTTTGTGCTCACAGAGTCATGGAGGGGGAAGCAGAGAGGTCAATTGAATTGCACCCATGGTGTAATTTTGGAATTAAAGACAAAGAGAAACTCTTAACCCAGCCAGCAGCAGGGCACAAAGCAGGACTTGGTGAATCTCCACTGTGCAGCCTCGACTGCCAGCATTGCAGCACAACCCCTTGGAGGTGGGGTTGCAACGGAGAAGAAAGCACTTTCCATACTCCTACATAGGGATGGAATGAGAGGAAAGGCTCAAGGGAACCCAAATCCCGCGCTCCCTTGCATGGCAGCTGGGGTGACAGGGCCAGGAGAGGCTGGGGAGGCAGCACGAGGAGTCCCAGCGCTCCCAAGGGACCCAGCAGCATGGTGGGGCTGCTCCCAGCGTATTGTCCCAGCCTGCTGCACCGCCAGGCTGGAGCTCGAAGGAGGATCGGTCTTCCTTCCCAGCCACCATCTTTCAAGTCAGTGGTGACTGCCGGAGAGGAAGGGAGGAGAGGGACGCTGGCTTTGTTTGTCTTGCTCAATCCTATGCTTTAAAACAAATAACTGAAAATGCAGCTGAGGGAAGCAGCAAAGCGGAATTCGGCACAGATAAATCACAGGGCCAGCTAAGCCCAATTTCCGATGCAAGCCATGTGTTTGTGTTCCCATTTCCCATCCTTGCCTTTCCAATAAATCACCGAGGCTCCACCATGGGCCTTTCCCTTCCCAGACCAAACGGTCCCGAAAGGAGGAGGGGAGCAGATGCACCCATCCACGGAGACACAGAGCCGGCCAGGGACTGATGCTGTGTGGCAGGCAGCCGGCCAGCCCTGTCCCCATCACTCCCAGTCCCCACCCAGTCAATGGCTGGTGGTTTGTCTCTGTGGCAATATACTGGAAAAACAGGAGGTCCCTGTATGGCAATGGGGAGCAAGTGTGGGGTTACTATCCACATCACCCACCTCCACCAATTGGTGCTCAATCAGGATAACTAATTACATATAAAACCCATGGTGTTGACAGGGAGACTGTCACAGCTCCCACCTCAGCATCACCCTCACTGATAGTTTGTCCCTTGGCTTGTTTGAAACCCCTCCATGCAGGCTCTGCTGCCAGCCAGCTCCTGACCCCACATCTTTGCACCCCTGGTGGGTCATAGCCCTGTCATACCTACCTTCAGCTGCTTCATGGTCACAGCATCCTGGCTTTCCTGCACTGCACTCTGACTTCCCAGCATCGACTCTAAAAAATAAAAAAAGGGAAAGGCCATATCAGCCCAACAGCACATGTCTCCTGACAATCCCTTTCCTTCCACATGGCATCTACACACTATATGTAAGATCTTTACATGTCATTGGCACATCTCCTCCAGGCTGGGGCAGCCCTGCATGGCAGCAGCTGTGGGGTGGTTGCACATCTGGGACAGGCACTGCTGTCTCCCCCTACTCTGTGCCAGCCTGTCTTCCTCCACACAAGCTGGCAGCACAGCAAGACCAAGGCAGGAGAAAAAGCTCCCCACCACCCTGCACAGACCCCAGAAGCCAGAGTCCGGCCATGGAATTCAGCCCCAAGTCTGAGAGGCAGGAATCAGCATGATGAAAGGCCGAGCAAGAGGGAGAGATGTGGCTGCAATGTCAGGGTACCCACAGAGCCCCAGACAGCCACAGGTAAGAAGGAGCAAGGGTTGAAGGGGAGAGCTTGGTGCCTGTGCAGAGCCTGCTGAACCAGCCAGGATCTCCCCCACACTGGTCTTTAGGGATCCTGGTGCTCACTGAGCATCACAGGGCTGAGAAGTGCTCACAGGGGCATAGGGTGCCATGGGGCTGGGGGCTGCTCCATGCCAGCACAGGGACAGACACGAGGTTGACTCCTCTTCCAAACCTTGCCAACACTCCCTGGGGCATCCCAGTGGGGAGACGTACCTCTGCTCTGCTTCAGCCACTGTGTGGCCACCTTCAAGTGCTTGGTCCTGCCCAGGTCCTCCCCGAGGAGGTAGTACCAGCCACTGATCTCCTGGGTGGGAGGAAAGAAGCTATCAATGCAGGGGCAGATACTCACCCCCATTTAACTCAGTCTGTTTGCCCATAGCCCTAGAGGGGTCCCATTGCAGGAGCTGCCCCATGCCAGTACACAGAGGCCACCCAGACTTGCTTGCACACAGAGGTGCAGCCCAGAGTCCTTCTCTTAGGATACAGACAGTTAAAATTCCATCCCACCTGCAAGGAGGGACCAAGCATCACTGAAGTAACAAGCTTCTAGTTTTTTAGAGGGAGACAAGGTGCAGAAAAACAGCCAGTCTCCAGTAAAACTGTCCATATCGTGTTTGCAGCAGCCGGCAGTCTTGCAGGGAGAACACAGCTCCAGCCTTATCACCAGAGGAGGATGCCCAAACTAGCCCTCAGCAGTGCTGGGTTCTCCACAGTTGGGCTCCCTTTGCCCCTGTCCCATACCCATGTGGCCAGGGCAGCCAAGAGAACAGAGCTGACCTTGGCAATCCCTCACCTCTCTTCCAGGGAGCTGCCGCTGGCTCCCATTGCTCCCTGGGCAGCTGGGAGAAGCCGGAGGGACCAACCATCCTGGACCAAGCCCAGGAGTCAGATGGGGTTGCAGGAACCATGCACAGGCCAGAGATAGGGGCCCATTTTAAAATTAATGTTTTAAATCCACAATGAGGCAACTGAGGAGGGGGCGGGGGGGGATATATAGCAGCAGCATGCGGCACCCAGGAGACAAGGGCCAGCTCATCTCAGGCCCTGCTGAGGTCCCAGGAGGACCACGTGCCCCCAGCATCCTCCTCCCATCCCTGCAAGAGTAGGATGGTGTGTGGGGGTGCTATACACATGAATGCTCCATCCTCTCTGCACGCAATGACACTTTGTGAAATTCACTACCAAAATCTGAGAAGGAAGGGACATCTCTGGGAAGGTCAGAGCAGAGGCCCCTCCGGGGGAGAGCTGCAGTTTAGAGCTGCTCTGCCTAATTATCTTCACTGCTATAAAAAAGCTGCATCTCACTTGTCCAAATTTCAGAGGAGACCATGCTCAAGCTACCTCTTACCCTCTTTCTCAGGCCATTGCCACAAATAGCTCCTTTTTAACCTCTTGCTGGGAAGTAAATTTCCACACTTCAGGTGATGTATTAACACTTTCATGAAACGCTTCCAGCTTGCTGAGATACTCTGATGTACCGAGGGCATGACTAGGGCTGTCCAAGGATGAAATCCCTAACCGCTGGCAGCTAGGATGAAACATTTACGTGTTTTAGTGGGTCAGCAGGAGTCATTTGCAGCAGTAGCCTTGCAGGCTTCTTTAGGAAGGCAAACCCAGCTGAAGTGAAAGCTGTATTACCAAGCTGCAGCCAGGCTGGGGCAGCAGTACTGTGACCAAATCCGCAGCAGCGGGTTCATGGATTCTGGCACAGAGACAGCCTGGCAGCACCGCTGCCTCCAGGAACAGCCTGAGACCTCTGCATTTGCCCTCTACCCACCACCACCTCAGCTGGTGAAGCCCTGGCTGCCGAGCGCAGGGAATCAGGCAGACTCCTCCTTGAAGGAGCAGGTCCCCACCATCGCACCCACTCAGCCACCACATGTCAGATGTGACACATGCCAGGCTAAGTGAGGCTGGCCCCATCTCCTGTCCCCCAGGCAGCCTTGCTGCAAGCAGGGCAGGCAGCACTCACTGGAGCCACCTCTCTGCACCCCCAATTGCTGCTACTCTCTGTGTCCCTGCAGAAGAGAGTGACAGTCCCCTGTCCTAGGATCCCTCCTCCAACAGCCTCCACATCCCTGCCTCCAGCAATCACACCAACATCAGTTTCACAGTGGCCATCCATACTGGGAATGGGACCAGGGAACTCCCTGGGCACCTTCAGAGCATCTTTGTCTCACAGTGGGAGAAGCCTGCTCCTGCCCCAAGGGCACACTACATCCACCCACCGACCTGAGAGAGTTAGGCCCCAGTCCCACGCGCTGCACTCCAGTATGGAGGTACCTTGTCCAGGGTCAGGAGGGACTTCACACCAAAGCTCATGCAGCCAATCAGTTTGCTCTGTCTGCAGGAAAGCCAGAGACTGTCAGGATACGCTTATGGAAAACTCCACAGGGACAATTTCCCACATGCACCCCTTTGCAGGGACCCCACAAACATCCCTGCCCATGCCAGGAGCTAGGCAGTGCCCAAGACCATGCCTCCCTCTCCATGCTTTGAGCAAGCATGGCGTAACCACACGGCTCAGCTGCAGCAGGGGCAAAGAGAAGCTGGGCTGAAGCATCCTGGTCACCTCCAGCCTACCTGATGCTGGCAGGAGCTTGGCCAAGGAGTCAGATGCCACTTGCCTGAGCGGGCAGCACAGCCTGTGAGGTGCCAGACCCCTTGCTGCTGGGCTTTCCTCCTCACTGCATTGCCCCCAGAGGTAGGGAAGGTCCCCAGCCCAGAGCCAGGCTCCAGCCCCACTTGGCTTTAGCCAGCTGTGCAGGCGTGAGTAGCTGCAGGAGTTTTAAATGCTG